TGGAATTCTAAATCGATAACCAATATTTTTATGAAACATTAAAATTATTGTAAACTCGGAAAATCGTTTTATAATTCAACTAGGAGATATTGTTACTAGTGTCATAAAAAGATTTCTCTTTGATCTTTTACCTCGCCGAAATTGTGACATTCGAAATTATATTTTTCTACTTTACTCGACAATTTTAGATATTTTGAAATATTATATTCCTGATATTTCATCCTTGGAATTTTTTACTCTTTTTTAATGTCACCCCATCCCGCATGACAGTCTTCAATATTTGTTTTTGTCTTTATAACGAGCCATAGAGAAACATCATATCGGAGTTGGTTGTGAAATTTAAATGTTTGCAAACAATGAAACTTGATGAGGATATAGTATATTACATTACGAGTGTGGAAAGTGACATTTTTCACAAGAGTGGGAAATATTGTCGCACGAGGTACAAGCCGAATGCGACTATCACACGAGTGCGGAAAATCACTTTTCACACAAGAGATGTACAATATTTTTCCTACGACCCCAAAATAATTTCATCAAAAAATGTAAAACCAAGTAATAATTATAATAATTAAAATGTATTTAAAAAAATAATCAACAATAATTGTATTCATTAAATTTTCATATTTTTCAAAACAAAAAAAAATTCTGCAACCACCAAGTTTTGAACGCGGGCCCGCGGACCCGTCGTGTAAGCCAAAGTTCAAATTACTACTACAACCTGAGCTAATGGGTCTTATTTATGTCAAATGCATTTTTAATTCGATTTTAAGTTTAAACAGAATAAAAAGCCAAAATAATGAGATGTATATAGTTATTTTAATAATTTAATCATCATATCGATTATACTGTTAATATGGACATTACATAAATCAAAATAGAAATGATGCGTTTGACATTATGTGACAGCTGATGCGGAAATGTAAAACGAGGTTTATATTATAAAATGAATTTAAAAAAACAATCAATAATAATCGTATTTATTCAATTTTCATATTTTCTAAACAAAAAAAAAAAAAAAACAAAAAACCCAAAAAAAAAAAAATATAAAAAAACAAAAAAAAAATCTGCCCGCAAGGATTTGAACGCGGTCGCTCGCCAGGTATCAAATGGCAAAGTGATAAAGTTTGATACTCTACCACCTGAGCTAATAGGCCTTGCGTCAATTGAATGATCTAATCGGTTATGTGTTTAACCAGAATAAAAAGCAAACATAACTTAGTTATTTTAAAATTATTTTAATAATAATTGTTAAAGATAAATATCTAAGATCTAATTTACAACAATTTCAATAATTTAACAATTTAGTATTAATATGGACATTACATAGATCAAAATAGAAATGGTGCGTTTGACATTTTGTGACAGCTGATGCGGAAAGTAGCATATTCGCACACGGGTGGAAAGTAAATTCTTATTCATACGCGTGTGATATAGGACACTTTCCAAAGGACTATATAGTGTGATATGTGTCACTTTCCTAAGTGGTCGTAGGAAAAAAGTTTTTTAATGCAGCGTGAAAACACAATTTACTGCAGCATGGTAGTGGCAGACAAGAATGTAGTAGCTCAAGAGTCCCAAAAGCGAGTACGAGAAAGTCAAGATGAGTTGACATCAGCGTCCTGTTAATGAAATGCAAAAAGTCAAGGAGTGTTTCGCTTCAAGATAAAATTTTTCAATATAGAGGTAAACGTCATCTATATTGACATCAGTCCATAGCTCTCAGAAAGTCTAGATATCGCTATGGGTATGCATGCTATCAATACAATAAAATGCTGGTCGCCATGATAACTGGATTATATATTGGCTACACTGATTTTTAGTTTTTGTGTTCTGTAATAGGTGAACTTTGTTATTAGTTGTGAGCATTGAGATTATGGAGTGTAGAGGAAACAAGGAAAATCTCATACGGTTGTTTATCTCAAAACGTATCCTCCAAAATGTATAAAATTAAGATAGCGTACGTGTACTAGAAGGGAAAGATCCAATGATAATAGCTCACCCATATGTAAATCAGACGACGAACAGTACTATTGTCATCTATTATGAAAATTTCTCTATGATTATTATAAGCTGTCGCTTTTCACGACGGCTACTATTATTAACATGGCATAATAAAATTTTAACATTTTTATTACTATTCAATAAAAATAGGCAATTCAAAAAAGGGGAGAATGGGGGGTGAAAATAAAGATTGTACAGTAAAATTCAAATTGGGGGATCAATTGTATAAAAATCAAGCATTTTTTTATAATAAAAAAAAAAACTCAAAAATTTATAATTTTTATGTAAAAATCCTAATTTTCTCTAATTTGGGGGTTTTGGGGTGTATCAGCCAATAAATTTTTTTTCTTAGAATAATTCTCTTAATAACATGCCACTATTTTTATTTCAAAATTACAATATTTTTTTATCAATAAAAAAGGGGAAAAGGGGGGAACAAAACCTGGGGGATCCAAAGTCTTATAGTCTATCTTCATTAAATTTTATTTTTTTAATCTAGTACAGAAGGGCCATCTTAATTTTATACATTTTGAAGGACACTTTTTGTATACAGAGATAGTTCTCCTTACCTCTACACTCCATAATTGAGATAGAATAAAGAGGTGTAGCAATGACGATGTTAAAGTTTTCGCATCTTTGCATTATACTTTTAAGTCATATGTCAAACTCGAGACAGTCAGTTTTGGTGAGAATAAATTCAATTTTTTTTTAAATAGCTTTATTTACATGTTATAACATCATTTTCATTCCGTCAGTCTCCGAATATAAAATTATTGACTTCAAATAAATCAAAATACGACTCAAGTCGCCATTTTCATTACACTTTTCCGTCACTCGAAGTGCCGCCCATCTATCATATCGCAAAATAGTGTTTATGTCGTCTCTACTTTAATCTATGTCGATGGTTGTGAGTCAGATGAATAATTTATAGGATAAAATTAGGAATAAAACTATGACAAACCTTTTTGGCTTGTCTAGTTTTGATTCAGGACCAGTTTTTTAAAGTTTCTCGTTCTTGAAATTCTATATACATTACAATAGGTTTCAAATTACAACGATCACAGTATAAATATTGGTTATACCTACCTACTCCAATTATAAATAAATTATTTCCAATAAAAATTATATAATTTAATTCAATTTACAAGTAAACTCATCTATGTTTAGCAATGGAGACATTACATTCAATTTCAAGTATTATATTAAAAAGTTTCGGTTTAATACTAAACTGACTATTAGAATATAATAAATATTAAAACAGTTGATTATTGAAATAAATATTTCATTATGGATTTTCTTAATACTTAATATTTTCAAAAACCTGTTCTAACATAGATTACTTTTTAAGTGATTTAATCACTGATCTGTCATTTAATAAGCATTGTAAGATCGTGTACCTGGAGAAAGTTGGACAAATAAAATGTTTCATTGCTTTTAGATATAACTGTTGAAATAAGTACCAACTTAGGAGTACAGAGACTTTTAGCTTTATTTTGTTAACACTAATTCTATTTCAAAAGAACATAACTGAAAATGTGACCCCTTTTCCCAGTGCATTGTCTACAAATGAATTTTTAGTGCCGTATATCGGACCAAAAAAAGGAAAATATAATGGAACAAAACTCACTTTCTCTATTTCATTATTATATTACACATAAAAGGGAGATGTAAGATGCATCTCCTTTTTTCCAATTGATGTAGATTAATTAATTTTAGATTTTCCAAATAATCATACTGAACATTCAATCTAAAAAAAACAGTACTTTACAAATTTCTTTTGCACCTTTTCTATTTAAAAAGTAGAATATGCTTAAATTGACCTAACCAGTGAGCAGTTTACTGTTCTTGACTATACAGATAAATCCTTAGAGGCTTCTCATTATAAAACCTAACATTTTAGAGCTTTGGCAATTATTATATTAATGTGTTCGTTGAATGAAAGAGACAATTCAAAATTCACTCAAAGATCCCTAATTATCTGAACTCTACACAGTTCCTCATTGTGCAATGCAATTGGTATACATACACTCTTAGGAGTTCGTTTAAAGACGCTTATAACTGAACATTTATTAGTGTTTAAAAAAAGCCTGTTCATCTGACATCAACTCATTAAATTATTTAAATCTGATTGAAATAAATAATGGTATGGTATCATCATTTTCCCCACAATTTTAAAAAGCTTCATAATATCAGCATACATAAGGCAAGAGCAGTATTATGTAATAGTCGATGTTATATAATTAATAAATTAAATAGCGAAGGCTCACAATGTTCACTGTGTGAGACACCAAAACTAACTGCTATTAAATTTGATTTAAGACAAAATTATTGATTTATACTATTTGAACCCTTTCCATTAAAAAACTACGTAGCCAAGCTACCAAATTATCATAAAAAAACAATTGTCTTCCCCCAACTTCAACAAAGTATCTCATGATTCCCTCGAAAAAACGCCTTGGAGAAGTAGTCTGTATAGACAGCATCGACTTGTTTATCACTCTCCAAGGCATACAACAGAGTAACTTCATATTAAACCAACTTAGTAGTTGTGGACTTTCCCCCCAGGAACCCATGCTGGTTAATAAATAGCTTTACATTGTCACAATAAATTATTGTAAATAAGTTTATCAAACACTCCGAAATAGCGGACTTATTGCAAACTCCTATATATTGTTCTTGATATCATGTTTGTATCCACCGTTGAATACTAGAACCATAAACTGGTCTTCCAGACTTCTGGGAACACTGAGAGCTCTAAGGATGCATTAAGAAGAATATAAAGTGGTTCAATCAATATAAATAAACATTTTCAAATTCATCCTTATTTTTATTATTCTACATAAATAGGAGTTTATTTCAATGAGATAAATTGCACGCTGAAGTAATAAGTAGCTACCGTGAAGATTTACTTCTCTATTGGTTAACAAATGTAATCAATCTAAACCAGACTAACGAGTTTATTTCTGATAAAATAATCACAAGATATCGTTACTTACCGATATTATTATCATTAACGTGTCCAGCCATCTGATTGTTATATTTTTCGTACCCTTCGGGAATTTTCGCCGCTTCTTCGATCTCTTCTCTTCCGTCCTCTTCTGTTATCTCCAGCTTTTCCAGACTGTTCGCGAACTGGTTCGTGTGAAGTACAGATTTGCACGGTGCCGGTACGCAGATCAAATTCGGCTCAGGACGATGAATGGGGATAGACTGGACTTCCGATTTTCCCATCTTTTTCGTTTTGCTTGTTGTCACGTCTTATCAAATGTTTATTATCTTCAGACTGAAATAATATAATAAATTGGGATTAGCGGACGGTAATCCAACAAATTGGTTGCTAATCGATAAGGTGATAGGCCAGGAAATATAAAATAAACGCAATGTGCGTTTCAGAGCCCTTGAAACAAAGAATAGAACAGGTTAAAAAATAGCTGTTATCGTATGCCAAGTTAAATTTATTAATATAAATTTTAAGCCGGTTTCAGACTCAGGCGTTGAAGCCTGCAATTAGCTGCACGAAGTTTTCAGTTTTATGCGTTTCAAAAATGCCCGTGAGTAAATAATATGCATTAATTTTTAAATATGCATACGTTTTTAAACAATACAGATATTTGTCATTCCAAATATTGTCAGCACTGTATTGTAACTGATCTTGTTTTCCATTTTGTCAAATTTTAAAATTAAAAATTACTATTAGCTTAACAGGTATGTACCTCTTTATTAAAGAGTGATCCACAAAAAATGTTTCTAAAGTAGGTCACTACCCACAGAGACAGATATACGTTCCGACTTATGTGAATTTTCCAAGATCTACTTTAGAAATATTTTTTGAGGATCACTCCATATTACTTATTAGTATAGTATTGGTATTTTTAGATAAGTATTATAGTTCAGATATTTTAATGGATGCTAAAACCATATTGGTTTTTTCAGTTGCAACCAGTATTTTCTTATCTTAAATACAAAATAATTGACAATATAAATCATTGGTAGGTTTGTAAATTGCATGCATGTCGAGAAAAAATAAAACAAATTCTAATTCCGTGCTTAAAAACTCATGCAATTCATAAACCCTCAAAATCTCATAAGTGAACATAAGTTCCGGGCATGATAACGCTGCATGAAGTTAAACTTTTAAGCACCTGTCTAAGATCGGCTTTACACCGCCAAAATTCGCGGCATCGACTAATCCATCGCAACGACGAACAACTACTAGACTAATTTTGTTTACAAAAATCGAATTGCAAACATTCACTTTCAAATTTAGGCTGTGTATTTAAGACACAGACAATTATAGTTTTCAAGTACGAGAAGATTTTTCACCTTTGTTTTAATGGCAGTCATAGAAGAGAAACTTAACTCTCATAAATATGATGTTAGAAATGGAACCAAACATTTTACAGCCTCATTCGCCATATGAGGGTATTTTGGTCCGGGTTATGGGAAAAAATTGGAGCATCAACATTTTATCACTTGATATTTTAATAAGTTTCTTTCATGTTTATTGGTTTATAAATCGGCTATAAAAGGATTCAGTATGCATCTGCAACTGTCATAACTGTTTTGAATTTCTTCGGGAAAATAATTACAGAGCTGTTGTTTTAAATTGAACAAAGTAACTTGCATGTCTTGTTCAAAATGTGTAGCACTGTAATTGGATACATCTTCCATAAAATCCTGAACGCACTGGAATGAATCGACCTGCTTTTTGCCAAGTGACGTCGACCATAAAACGATTTTTCTTATAAACCCCTTAATTTTTATCTGTGGCTGTAAATATATTAATGCCACAACCTTGCAAATTACCGTTCAAAATATTCAATTGTTCGAAAATATCAACAAGGAAAGTTAGTTTGAGAATCCAAATGGGATCGGAAAATTGATTTTCATATGGGGCTTCTCATCTTTCAACTATAATAAAAGTTCTGCTCTTGAGTGACGTTGCCCATTGAAAGCCACCTTACTTCGAAGTGATAAAGATTTTCAAATGAAGCACCCATGTCTTCGGAGATTTTTCGAAAAATACGGGTCTGCAAAGATTTTTCTTTAATGGCATTTACAACTTTAATGATGGTTTTTATAACACAGTCCATTTCAGGAGGTAAGGCATTTGACGCAAGAGCTTCTCGATGTAAAAACAATGTTTCCATGTGGTATTAGCAATGAACTGGAGTGGGGTAGAATGCTTGTCAATAGACTTGATGTGCGACTCTATGGGCGAAGATAGGTTATTTTTTATCTCACTAGGGAGTATTTAAAATAGCCAGTTTCTATTTCACATTGTTATTGTCTGATCCACCAGCTTGTGGATTGAACAATAACAATGTGAAACAGAAAATGGTTATTATAAATAGTCCCGAGTGAGATGAACAATAAAAATGGCTGCGCCCATCGAGTCGCACCTTGTTCTAATAGTACAACATGTACATTGGCATTCTACCCCCCTCCAGTTCATTGGGTATTAGGCATTATTTCTTGTAATCTGACGACAAGACCAGATTGATGGCTTGTCATAGCTTTAGCGCCCTCTGTGCACATAGCAATATATTTTCCCCAGTCAATATCATATTTACCTGTATGTTTCCCAAAAGTGTCGAATAAAGATTTTCCAATGGTACTGGTCTCCAATGGGGAACAAAATAAAATATCTTCTTGAATGCTATTATTTGTATCATACCTTACAAACGTAATAAATTGGGCAAAGTTAGATATATCTGTGGATTCGTTCATTTGAAGAGAGAAATACGTTTGAATATCTTCTGCACATCACTAATTCTTCTTTGGATAGTATTATTTGGCAAAGGTATTGTTTTTAACTTGGCAGTCTCTTTTTCACATTATATGTACCATGTTAACAGCTGCTGGCAAAATCAGATTTCCAGTAATTGTGTGTGGGTTATACCAGTTTTGGCAACGCGATTAGCAACTTTATAACTTGCTGATAAAGCTTTTTCATTAGTAGTGGTTGCCAATGCAAAGTATCTTGCTGTTTGCAAAGGACGTTCAGCTTTCTTTCAAAAAATTCTACGGGTTTGTCTTTTTTATCTGGATGTTTGCTATTTAAATGTCGAAGTAACTTTATTTTCTTTTGAGAAGACTTTTCCACAAATAACACATTGTGGTTTATTGGAAATAACGGTAAAATCATATTTAAGATATTCATTAGTGTAAAGTCTGTTTTTCTTTTAATTACTGCCACTTTCAGACGTAGATTGTTCTGCACTTCTTTTTAAAAACGTATCCATAATTTGTAATTTATCGTAGACGTACGAGGGTGGATCCCTATGCTACATCCCTGACCCCCTTACAGTAAAACTAGAGTGGCATTATATATTTTTTATTTTTCTCCTGCTACACTAATGCACTTGGTCCATCGGTGCTCTAACATATCAACAGCCTCCTGAAAAAAAAATTGTCCGACCTCTGCAAACCACCTCTGTATAGCTTGCGCTCATCATTACTGGGAAAATTTTGCCACGTAACTTTTCTTTTAATTTAGATCTGGTGAATGTGGTGGGTACTCCATTAATTTAAAGACTGCTTGGTGTACAGGGTGGGACACTTAAAAGTTCTACCCTCTCTTATCTTTGTTATTGAGATATTGAAACGATTTTTTTTTGTTTAACTGCTTGGAGTAGTAACTTTATTCAATTATTCTGTGACGTCATGACGTACTTTCGGTTTTTCCGGAAATAACATTAAATCGCAATTTATTTTTTATTTTTAAATTAAAACACCAATTTTTTATAGAAAATTCTAATTTACTGAACATTTTTATATAAGAACCGTTTATTGAAAATATTCTGTAAGGTGTCAAAATGGCCGCTATATTGGATATTACTATTTCTAAATATTTTACTAATAACTGGTTTAAGGAAGAATACATTGAAATGAATTACCTTTAAAAACTCTTTGTAAACCGTTAAGACTAACCCAAATTACACCAGTTATGAATAATATTAATAGTTAAAAATAATTTTATATATAGTTATAAAATGATAGTTTTGGAGAATTATGGTCTAGCTGTACCAACTTTATAGGAAATTTGATTATCTAAATCCTCCCACTGCTTCAAGCGAACATGGACTCCATCTCACTGAGATATACCTTCCATAAGCCATATAAAGTTATAATAAAACAAATAGAAGATCCGGAAGTGGCAGGTACGATTCATATCTACACCGACAGTTCTAAAACAAAATAAGGCTCAGGATGTGGAGTATACTCCAGATTCTTAAACCTAAACATAAAATGGGCTGTGAGCAATAGTGCCAGTGTAGTTCAAACAGAGCTAACGGGGATTCTCATAGCAGCAAAAGAAATAACCAGAAACAATATCACTGGAATGAACATGCTCATCTATACAGATAGCAGACAAGCACTACTCACCCTGAACAGACCACGAATTTATTCAGGGGTAGTACTAGAATGTCTCGAAGGTTTGGCCGAAGTATCCATCAACAATGTGGTCACCTTAAGATGGATATAAGGTCACGCCACATCGAAAGGTAACCGTCTTGCTGATTCACTAGCCAAGAAAGCAGCCAACCAAATACTTTTTGGACCTGGCCCTTCTATTGGCCTGACAAAATCGGTAGTAACAGACCTAATCAAAGAACATTCCCTTGTGAAATTCAAGGAAAGATGAGACGAAACTAAAAGCTGCAGAGTAACCAGGGAGCTTTTAAGTTATCCTGACAATACTACAGCAAAAAAATACTTGATTAACTATGACTAGACAGAATCTACGCCTGATCACAGGCATTCCGACTGATAATTGCCAAGTACGGACTCTGCGGGGTGCGAAGTGGAAGATGAGACCATCGAGCATATCCTCTACGATTGCCCGACGATCTCATTTATTAGAAGATTTGTCTTCGGCGAGAATTAGCACTGGCACCTCTTATCAACTACATTAAATCTGTAGACTGGCTCAATGGGCCTAATGAGGCGTAAGTGCCGTGGGGGTAACCCACCCTCCACACGTTACAGATACAGATACCCCTTCCTGTGGACATCCCCTTGCAACCAAGCCTCTTATATTCACATCCTCGACACTTATGTTTATTGCTCGCTTTGCAAGAATGTTATGTATCCACTCACTAACCACCTGCAGAACATTCATGTTGGTTAGTGAGTGTATTATCTTGATGAAGGTCTGAATCAGTAGGTCTGCTTGGGGTGTATGCATGTTGATTTGGGTGTAGCGGTATTGTTGTAATCACCCCATCACTTATGTACCTTTCGCATAGCCTTTCCAATGTCTTCATGGAAGAGGATGTC